AGAGCAATCTATGGTAGTTCATTCTTTCCTTCTATCATGTGGGTCCCAGTGGTCACACTCAGGCCTTTATGCTTGGCATCAAGTGTTTTTTACCCACTATGCTATCTCAACAGACCCTAGATTTTGATTTTTCAGGACTACCGACTCTAGGGTTAAATACACAAACATATGACCATGTGAACCATGAACACCTACACGTTTATCATTGTCACTGAGCTCTAGTCTTCACAATGGAAGGATCCCAAAGTGAGTAGCGAGCAGTACTGCTTTACTTGTTTATTAGTTCAACGAAACCATGTGTGTGTGTTTGATTGAGTATTAATCAAATGAATGCAAATGGTTCCTAAGTACAATAGATTTTTTACTTTAAGAAAGATTTATCCTTACTTAAGTGCTTAAGTGTACGGATATGTCTCTCACCTGAATATCTATATATAATACATATATAATATTTATATATAGAATATTTGATTTTTTCCATTATCCAAAGCCAATACTGTGTCCTAGGATATAAGGTGTACAAGGACAGGCAAGGGTTTTCCTCCATTCAATTTATCATTTAGAGGAGACAGGCAGTAAAGAAGTTTTGAGGCTTGAAGTGTTCTTCTGATGTATTGAATGTTTGAACCTCGGGTGGTAGAGCTATTTTGGGGAGGTGGTGAGAACTTTAGAGAGATGGAGGAAGTTGGTCACTGGGAATATGTCTTTGAGAGTTGTATTTTGTTCCTGTTCCCTACCTCTATGATCTTCTACTGAGTAACTATGACCACAAGCTCCAACCACCATGCCCTCCCTCTCCACAGGCCCAAGATCAAAAAAGCCAATGAACTAAAATTAATGATCCCTTCCTTAAGGTTGTTTTCTCAGTCTTTGTCACAGCAATAAAATTGCTAACGTGCTAAGTTAATAAATCAGAGAGAATCTAAGCCTGTATGGTAGGAAAAATAAGCCATGTAATGTAGTACCCAAATTATCCAGAAGAGGGCTATATTCCTATGCAGATCCCATACAGTACCCAAAGCATCCAGAAGAGACCTGAGTGAACTGGCAACCCCACAGGTCTCCTGCATGTTAGGCAAATTCTGAGAGATGGAGACAACAAAGACATTGGGGCAGAATAGTCCAAGCACTATGCACAGAGGTGTATAGTTCCTGAGATGGAAGCAAAATCGATTTTTGTCAAAGTCAGAACGAAGGTTGTTGTATCTGGAGGTCATTGAGAAGCTAGGTAGAAGAAGAGATTTAGATAAACATGTCAGGGATGACTTCATGTGAGACTATGGTGCCCAGGTAAGAAGTTTTGTTTTTTGAAAGTCTGAAGGGAAGCTCTCACAAACTTCAAAGATCTTTGTGACCAAGGAACCAACTAATAATGGTTGTTGCTAACCCTTCTGAGCAAATTGCACTCCAAGATTTTAAGCTGTGTAGACTTGAAGACAGTTCTTCAGGTTCCTAAGTGGGCGCTATGCAGGCAAGCTGCTTTAAAATAAGCTGCACGTTTGATGGACACAAGCTTCGTTCCTAGGCTTATTCAACAGATATCAGTCCCAGTCACAGGGACCATGACAAATTCACTTGTTTGTCTTCATGATCTCTTGCCACCACTCTATAGTAAACGGTAGACTCATGGCAGATATACTAGTCAGAACTGAATCAGGGAAATCGCACCAGCATGGGTCTATACTGAGTAGGAGGAGGTTTAAGGCAGGGTGGGGTACCTGAAGCAACTACAAAATACACAGATCTCAGTCGCAAGAGAAGATGGGCACTCTGGGCAGAGGAGTGTTTTCCTTCTCCTAGAAAAGCTTCAGGACTGCTTTTATGTCTTCCAAGAGATTAAGTCTGATTCGCCTAAGGAATCTAGGAAAGTTAGGAACTTTTGTTTGCACCTGGAAAACAAATTCTTTGGGATTTAGGCATCTCGAGTCTAGTCAATAAGCGTGCATACAGAAGATCATCCAATTGAAGCTAAACATTCTTTTAGATTCCTAAGCAATTTCAGTAATTTGCTCGTTTTCTTACAAGTATTTCCTTCTTTGTTTTTCTTTTTCTTTTTTAAATTTTTAATTCATTTTATATACGAACCACAGTTTTTCCTTCCCTCCCCTCCTCCTGCTCCCTTTCACCTCCCCCTAATGCACTCTGCCTTCATCCACTCCTCAGGAAGTCAACAAAGCCTGGCACGTTCAGTTGGCTCAGGACTAAGCCCTTCCCCTTTGCATGAAGGCTGAGCAAGGCATTCCACCATATGGGAATGGGCTTTAAAAAGCCAGCTCATCCACCTGGTCCCATTGCCAGGGGTCTCACAAACAGACCAGGCTACAGGCTACACAACTGTTGTCCTCATGCAGAGGGTATATTTCTGTCCCATGTGGGCTCCCCCCACTGTCAGTCTAGAGTCTGTGAATGCCCACAATTTCGCAACCAGTCTTGCATCCATTGTTTCATAAAAATGTTGAACCCTAAGTTTCTCTACCTTCGCTGATGATCAACTGGCTGATTTCCACCGCCATACATTTCTAGGGTGCTCTCAGATCCTGTGAGTGTTTTGTTTGTTTGGTTGATTGTGTTTTGTTTTGCTTCTCTATGAGCTGCCACTGTTGCTGCTAATGGGGCTGGCCTTAGACTTTCCATTGTGTAATTTTCTTCTTGTGTAACTTCTGAAGTCTCAGCTATTGGGACTATATATGAAGAATATTCTTCATATTCTTAAGGCTTCTATTCCTTCTTCCTTTTGAGGTTTTCTGAAATGGTATTTTCTTTGTTCACAAAATAGTACCCTCTCATTTGTTTTCTTGCTTTCCAAATAAAGTATGGAAAGGGAAAGACACTGAATTTCATAACCAAGCTTATACTACTAGTAAGGAGTGTTTTGTGTATTATTGTTTACTTATTTTTGTTTACTTTTGTGCTTTTATCTTATTTTTACCTTTGTTGAGAAGTATATGATGGAGTAGGATTGTGGGTAGGTGGGTGGTTGGTTGGGTGGGGGGGTGTGCAGGTGAACATGTGGAGGTCAGAGGGCACCTCCAACGTTAATTCTCTCCTTTCATCTTATAACCAAACACATGGGATGGGCTTCTTAGTGTTCTCCTTCCACCTCCCCTTTCACTGCAGGGACAGTGAGATTATAGACACGCATTCTATGTGCAGTCTAGCCTGCATTTGACTCTGTGCATTCTGTGGATCCAAACTTCAATCCTCATGTTTGTGAAGCAAGCTCTTTATCCTCTGAGTCATTGTCCCAGCCCAAGATATCACTAATTTTAAGTTGTTTAGTATTTTTTTGATGTGGGAGTGTCATATCAATCTGTTGATTTCATTGGCTGAGCAATAAAGAAACTGCTTGGCCTCATAGGTTAAAGCATTGGTGGGAGGAATAAACAGAATAGAATTCTGGGCAGAAGAGGAAGTGAGGTCAGACTCTGCTCTGCTTCCTGAGAGACGCCATGCTCCGATCTCCCGGGCAGATGCATACAATGAAGCTCCTCTCAGCTCCGAACCCAGAATGGACAGAGGCTAGAATCTTCCTGGTAAGCGCACCTTGGGGTGCTTACACACATCATTAGAAATGGGCTAGTCCAGGTGCAAGAATTGGCCTGTAAGGGCTAGAGTTCATGGGCCAAGCAGTTCCTAAATGAACACAGTTTGTGTGTTGTTATTTCGGGCGTGAGCTAGCCAAGCGGCCAGGGTGTTGGGGATGCAGCCCTGCCTCCGCTCCTATTTTCAACATTTTTTTCTTCTTCTTTTTGTATTCCTTGGTTTGGCAGTTGACATTCTCATCAGCCAAGCTTCAGTTTTATCCCATGTTGCTTCTCACCTTTACCTGTCTATCTTACTGTGCTGAGTCACGCCATTACCTGGATAGTAGCTCCTGTTTCTCTGTACTTGCACACACTTTAATTTTTTCAGGTGACATCCCTGTTCACCTCTGGCGATCTTTCTTCATTTCCATCTTCACGATAAGTAACTAAAATCCTGTTAGGGTTTCAAAATCTTTTTCAAATAGTAGCCAAAGCTTTACCCCATCCTTTATGTATTCTTATACAGCATTTATTTATATATGCAATATCTCTGTTACCTGCTTTCTGTCCACATCCTGTTCTAGTGTTTATATTTATGGTGTAACCGGCACAAGTACTGCTTCTTCTTTTAATCAATTCAAAGAGAAGCCTATGAATTAGCCATATGAGTGTCCTATAGCCTTAGCCCGATACATTTGTATAATGTCCTTACAATTTGCATTTGTTGAATGTCAGAATTACACTGGAAGCCAGAATTATTTCCTTAATCACATGGCACAATTTTCCTCCCACTTCTTGCTGGGCTGTATCCACCAGCCATAGGAATAATTTGCCTCTTCTTTTTTCCCCCTTTTTTGAAGCTACGGATTCCTGCACATCTGAGTGCTTTGTGAGGATGCGATTGCAGATGTATGTGTTTAGTCATTCCGACAGTCAAACTGTGTTTTGATTATTTTAATTCTCTTATTGCAATACAGAATAATTTGTTCTGGGCTTTTTACAAGCCCTTGATAGCTGTAAAGCAGATTAAAAAACAGAAACAGAAAACACCAGCTTCTTCTTCAGTGCTCACCCTTAAATCACCAGTCTTTGTTTTTCGTACACAAAGTAGTAAAACAACTCTCTCTCTCTCTCTCTCTCTCTCTCTCTCTCTCTCTCTCTCTCTCTCTCTCCTCCCTCCCCCTCTCTCTCTCTCTCTCTCTCTCTCGCTCGGGTGTGTGTGTGTGTGTGTGTGTGTGTGTGCGAGAGAGAGAGAGAGAGAGAGAGAGAGAGAGAGAGAGAGAGAGAGAGAGCGCTTTAAGCTAAAACTAAAACAGACAGCAAATCTTAGAAAAAACTCTCTCCCCGGTACAATCTTGGGTCTAGAAACACAGTTTTTCACAATAAAAAAAAAAAAACCTTGAGAGATTTCTTCCTGCTATTTAACTGGGGCTTATACTAAATGTAATTTTCATGTCATTTTTCTCATTTTTGTAGCTTTGAAAGCTGTATTTGTTGAGAGAAACCTGTTCCCTAAAGAAATTCTTGATCATGAAAGACAAGACAAGCAATTATGCCAAGAAACAACTGGTGAAGTGAAGGTGAAAAGAAACAAGAAGCAATTATGATCAAACAGAAAAACAAACACACCGCTGTGGCATAAAGCACTCCCAGAAAATGCCAAGAAATGTCCAGAATTCCCCTTCTCTGTTGCTTTACCTGTAAACTTCAAGAAACTAGGTCTTCAGACTGTGTTTGTTCTGTTTTCATTCAGAATTGTCCCCTCCTCTGTCTAATCTAAGAAAAAATATACGAAAGACTGGCTTAACATGGAGGAATGCCATTTGGTTTTATCTATTTCAGAAGAAAGTATTTTACTGCCGCGCACCGCGCCCCCGTGTCTGCGCTCTGTGTGCTGGCATCCAGTTCGCGAGCTTCCGGCAAGGGACTGGAGGTTAAAATACACAGACACACACACACACAGACAGACAGACAGCGACACGGGTCATCCTTGAATTCCCCAAGAATGCCCCCTTTATTGTGTTCAGGGGCAGATTATATAGAGATAGCCACGCCCCAGCCAAACCCACCAGAAACCACTCTCCTGCCATCAGGAACTCCTGAAGGTCTCGTGCTCAGAGCAGCTGTAGGCACTCAGATCAGGGGATTTCAAGAAATTCAGGATCTGGGGTCTCACTGCTCCCAACATTTTACCTAGTTGTCCCTGTAATTGCCACTGTAGACAGACATTTATAATGTCTTATTATTAAATCTTCATTAACATATATAAAGTCTAGCAAATTAAAAAAAAACTCATTTAAAATTTGTTTATTTTAAGGTTCTCCCTCTTTGTAATTCGTTTTTCCTCAATTTTGATATTGACAATTAGATAGCAGCATGTTTTATTATTTTAAAATATACTTTTAAAATATTCTTTTAATATATATGAATATTTTAAGAAGTTTTAGCTGTACAAATTTATGGTGTATAGTGTTAAAATTTGCAACACATTAATGATCAAACTGGGGATATCGACATTTAAAAGTCATTAAGTATTTTCAAATATTTCTGATTAACATATGGCCATTGAACATGTGGCTGTATGCAGTGAGCTTAATATTTCAACACAAAGATTTAATATGTAGTAGTCCAATGAGAATAAGTATTTCCACGTAATCGTTTTCGAATTCTCTTCCTGCTTAGAGGAATATGCCTTTAGAGCTTAATTTGTGGAAATAATCTGGTTTTGTATTTGGAAACTGAGTGGCATAATAGCCAAAAAAGTTAACAACATTGAGAAGAGCAAAACGCCTGGACTTTTGCAAATACATCACAGTCCAGGAAGACTCACATAGGCCATGTTTGGTTCTGAAACTTACTGCTTTTCCTTGTAATAAACTTTTCTTTATGTACATCAAACTCCAGGAAACCAGTATTGTTGTAACATTCTTTATTGTACTCTTCAGAAAAATTAATAAATTCATTCAGTTTATATGCATATGTTTATATTTTAACGAGGCCTTAAAATATTTGGACTGTAAAAGTCATGAAATAACACTTGCAAATAAATAATTAATATATGGTAGATAATTTTGATCAACAACCAAAACATTCAGTGTGTCTCATATGCAATCCTTTAAAATTTATCTATTTTCATGTTGAAAGATGACATATTTCTTGATTATGAGATTGTCTACTGATTAAATTTCAGTTTTGGAATTATAACGCTGGTTTGTTTACTTCTGTCTTTATTGATCTTATTGAGTTATACATTTTTCTCCACTCCCTCCGTTTCTGATCTGTTTACGTCTAAGATCAACGATTGACGCCATCATTCTGCTCACTTTTGTGGGATATAGTTAATGACATGGATTTTAACAATAGATGTTTTCATCATTATTTGAACAAACACTTTGATTTGGAAATGGGAGGAGTAGAAAGGTTTTCTGAGAACAGAATTAATTCCTGCCTGTGTTTATGCTACTAGTGAGTCAGGCATTATAACTTTACCTTCTAATTGGATGGTAATAATATGTGGAAAAGATCTAGGAGGGTGTGTGTGTGTGTGTGTGTGTCTGTCTGTCTGTTGTAAGTGAGTGTGTTGAGGTGTTTATCTGAAAACGCTCTTTAGAGGAAATATATAATATATGTGGAATCTATGTAATAGAAGCTTCATCTTGACCTCAAATGATTCAAAAGTACTATATGTGTATTCAAAACACATAAACATATCTGTGTTTGCAAGCATGTACCTAGGTCTATCATTGATTTGACATCTATGTTTCTTTGTCTATTTATCTATTTTTTAGATTAATCAAGGATATATATATATAGTATACACGTATGGTATATGGTAACAATTGGAGAAACTGAACAAAAGGACATAGAGATTGTAGGTCTTTGTACTATACAGGCAAATTTATGTAAATTTGAAAGTATTTCGATGCAAAAGTTTAAAACTTAAAATATTGCTTTGAGATAAACATTATTTTAGCTGTTATAACAGAAACAAACTATCTCATGGAGATATTGCAGAGAATTTTTACATTGAATGGAATTCTTGATTGAACAATCCATCATTTCAAACCATAAGAGTGATTGATGTGTCAAAGGTTGATGATGGTACAGGGAACTTAAATCAGAGACACTATACAAGAAATTTAAAGGATTATTACGATGTGAAGGAGATGTAATTAGAATACCAAATCTTTTGTGACGACTCTTTTCTCCGTGTACACTTGTCTTTTACCCATGAGGCCATGCACCCTTCTATTCATTTGAAGTCCAGCTATAGAAAGCAGAGGGAAAATGACTTGCTCACACGTATACAGGAAAAACTCACCTTGCCTTCAGCTTTCTCAGGTGGACTCACAAATAGTACAATGGTTAATTAGGCTAAGATTGAATGAGATAGCACCTTTTCAGGTGTAATTTAGAAGTTCCTCTGATAGGCACGTTTTATTTCTAACTCCTGATATGATTAGTGTAACAAAATCTGCTCCACATAGACTTTCTTTCTTTTCTTTTCTTTTTTTTTTTTTTTTTTGTTTTTGAAGACTATTATGTCTGCAAAGCTTGGCACTTTATGTAACACTAATTCCATCCCTCATGAACTTCCTCCCCTCTTCTGTAAAAATAATTAAAAGGAGCTGTCTAGAAGTACATTTGATATATTCAATAGATGCTTTAAAGCTCTGAAAGTCTCTTTTAATGTTATCACTTCTAATAATTTGGCAAAACATATACAAGAAGAAAGATGAATGACATCCAGCTATTACGTTTTACTATTCTTTCCTACTTTACAGCATCTGATTGTGCTAAACAAGCAGCAGGGTCTTGCCTGTCAAATGCTAATAGCCTAGAACATTATAACCTGTTTCTGGAATTAACATTTTGATGCAATTATTTAAAAATCATTTTTCTAAAGTGAAAGGAACTTGTCATATTAAAATAAGATGTGTTTTGATTTTCAATAGTTGCTTGTAATATGTACATCTATACCAGACATAATGTAATCCTTTTCCTTTTAGACTATATTCCTCTTCTCACTTAAAATACATCGTGTACACTGACAGAATAAAAGCTGCCTGAGATTAGTTTGAGCTCAAGTGGAAAAATTAACTTTGACTTTTTGTTTTTGATGGGTACATACTACAGCCAAATGCACTTTGTGGTTTTAAAGTTTACAATTAAGTATATTTTAGTTGTAAATAACTATAAAATAGTTTGAAAAGTGATGAGATTATAGCACCAACTCAATGTTATTAATGATGCTAAATTTTATACAAAAGCATTTAAAGTTGCATTATGAACATATTTCTTTTATTCTCTAGGGCAAAATAGAATTCTGAAAAGAAAAGATTTGTGGATTTATTTAAATGTAGTGCAGTAATATTTTATGGACAATAATACTTTATTGACTATTAAAACACCTTAAATGTGGAAACAAAAATTCATGGTTTTTGCTTTTTACTTCAGAAGAGACAGGACAATGCATATTTTTATTTGAACTGCTCTGATTTAAGGTTACATTGAATGGTCAAAATAAGACAGAGTAGTTGTCTACTCCTTCTCACGGCAGAAAAGTAGTGTTTGTTTCTGGGATAAATCACATTACCATCCGAGGAATGTGCAGAAACAAGTTGGTAGCTAAGGTTGCTAGTGATTTATGATTGTTGGTACTAATACATGGGTGGAAGAACTCCGGCCGGCAGTCTTAGAAGTTCTAATCTCTGCTTATGTGTAAAGCAATGTAGAAGGTACTGTTCATGTATTGAACAGTTCTAATTTGGAAAATTATATATAGCATCTCCAAATCTAGAAAAAGAACTTTTTGTGGTATGCAAAAGAAAAAGTAATTTTTTAAATAAAAATATGAAAAAAATATAATGTTGGAAGAAACATGTTAAATATTATAAAAAGGAAAGTTTGAGAATGCTTCTATAATCAAAAAAATAGTGGTTGACAGACTAGGATGTAGGTCAGTGGGAGTGCTATTTGTTAGCATGAGTAATAGCGTGGATTCAGTCTTTAGTGCTGAGAAACTGAAACCTAGCGAATTAGGAGATGACAGCTTCTCATAGTCAGAAAGCTTCTCAGGTCTGTCTTTGAGTCGTGATCCTCAACAAGGTCCAAGGTCTGGGGTAAAAATTTTAGAAGATGTGATCACTTTAAGGCATTCGTCTTAAAATGAATATGAACATTTTATTTCTTTCTCATGGACTTAGCAGAAATACTATTTAATTTTGCGATCAAGAGTTCCATGTTACTGCAGTGAAAGCACACTAAACTTCCCATTTCTTAGAGCTATAATGAATGATATATGCATTTAATGCCTGCCTGCCACTGAGCTGGTTGAATTGAACCATGAAAAGGAGATAAAACCCACTGAATTATGCATATGTTTTTTATTGATGGGTGGCTTGTAGAGAAAGTCATATAGAATGTTAAAATCACATATCAGGAGCCTTAGTGTTCTCTATCAAATCACCTGTGGTTAACGGTGGATTTTTTTCGAATATAATTTGTTAAACCGATAATCTTCATGAGATTTTTTTTGTAAAATATAAAAATATATTTTCAACATCTGTATTTTTCCAGTGAATTAGGATGGAACTATTAGACACAGGAAACGTCTCTGACCACTGTGTAATTGTGACAGCTGTGGTGAGGATTTGATTTGGCTTTGTTCCTCAAACTATTTATGATGGGAAAAATTCTTAACCTGACTCGGAGTCCTATGATAATCCAGCATATTTACAATATCTGCCACAAGTCTCCAATTGTTTCCACTTAAAAGGGAAATGAAATAACCAATGAAATAAGAAGATCTCTTAGCAATTTTAAGTCTCATTGCCCCTTTTCTTAATCCAGTTACACGTCATCATTGTCATTAACTTGATCATGTGACAGCATGGTGCACACCTGGTCTGGTTGTGGAAGAATTAATCATGCAGAGTTTCAGATAAATACAGTTGACCTTCACCGATAAGGTGATTCATATATGTGTGTTTCCACTAAGTATATTTTAGTCACAACACTCCAGTAAGCAACCAGAAGTTAATTCAGGGTAAGTATCTTAAAATTAAGCAGATTTTGAAAGAAGCTGATATTCAGTAACATGGACTCTGCTTGTTGAAGTATAAGAATGATGCTTGGATTCACTTTGTTGCAGGAATAATTAATTATTTTATAAAAATAAAACATTACTTTCATTCCATCTTAAAATTGTTCATTGTAGAAAGGTCAAGTTCTTACAGAACTATTCACCGTGTTGTTTATTTCTTAGTTTCTTCGGAATTTCTGGTAAGATATTACCCAAAACTGAATGAGGTAAGTGAACTTTAAAGTGAATTATTTGTTTGATGTTATAACTTATTAAATGCTCAGAAAATTGTTGGTAGAAATGGCTGCTCAAGAAGTAAAATTTCATTATGAGCACTAGCAGTTCGAGTGTTATCTTAGTACCAAGACTATTGCCAGAAAGAGTGACATTATTCCTAATAATATTTATTATTCCATTGTTGGCCTAATTCTTGAAGATATATCTAATGAATTTCAGCTTGTTTAAAAGACACTGATATGTTTTGATGACTTACAAAACAGTAAATGCATATTTTTCAGAAATAATCAGAGAAATAATATACTCATAAAAAGAACATATATACATTTGTAAAAAGTTCAAAGCCATATATATATATATATACATATATATATATTCACACATGCATACACACAGAGAGAAACATAGACACACACACACCCACTGAGAGAGAGAGAGATCAGAGCATAATATATAGACATTCATTTATGTGTAAAACTTTTCTCATGAAAGGATTTTTACTGTTATACCCTAACCATCTAGTACTATATTGATTGAGTGCTTAATAAGTCCTATGAATAACAATTTACATCTGTATTCATGCTTTATCAATATTATTTTCTATTAGTTGCTTTGTATTATATTTTGAGACTTTACCTCTTTGTAAAACTATTTATACAAATAGAGACTTTTTCTATTTATATTTTAAAAATCTGAAGAACCAAAATAATACCTTAGATCTTACTTTTTGAGGTTATTTGATTATTCTTTATCAGTATTACTACTAATGCTTCTTAATAACTCTTGACCTATAACTCTAGGAATGTAATACTTCAGATCTTCAAGGCTAACAGCACTATTCTGAAAACTTTATAGTCTTTGCTCCCTTT